AAGTTAAAATAATTCATGAATTTTCTATTGCTTTTCTAATGTTTTATGCAGCATTTCCTTTTTGGCAGGGTTGTTAATCTCTACAATATTTTAAGTAGAACTCCTGGAGATTCTTACTCTACTTGTTTGAAAACCATGGGAAAATTCAATATATGGCCCCAAAAACCTAGCAACTAAAATTTGAAATTACACCTAACACCTTCCCTGCCATTAGCTTTTAGTTAACTGCTACATCCGTAAATTACTTGCTCTTGAGACCTCTACAAAACTAGTAGATTTTGAACTTCCAGCAAGTTACCACCTCGTTCCACGGGATTGGCAAAAGAAAGAAAAGAAAAACAAATAATGAACAGAATTTCTACTGGAAAATCTTCTTTCAACACCACCCAGACTTGCAATCATTTTTATATGAAACTTAGCAACCAAGAGGGGCTCCATTACCCAGATTTGCAATCTCATTGACCTAATTATTAAAACCGAAACCCTAAAATGTTCCATTAAGAATCCAAAACCCTACAATATGTCTAATAACTAAAGCTTGTGCAAAAAGAGAGCATACACATGCATTGATTTAGTTTCAAAGAAACATTACAGAGAATATATTAAACTAAAATTTTAAGTACAAAAGTACGCTTTATACCTGATTTCAGCTGAAATGAGAAACTGCTCGTCAATAACCCAAAAGACAGCAAATCTTTGAATGTAGGTCTCAGCAAGACAAGCCTGGGATGGTGGAATCCAAAACAAACACTAGAAATTGTGAAAAACTAGAGGAAATAGAGATAGAAAACGGAAGGAGAATTGAAGAAAGAAGACAAGGGAGATGAATACGGCCAGTGGCGGAGCTTTGTTGATACAAAGGGAGCCATGCCTTCCTAGGAAAAATTTTTATTTTATTTTAGTAGATATACATGTAACTTTAACAAATAAATAAAAGTACCCACCAACTTTATTTTGGTCTCTTAAAAACTTTAGTCAAGTTTCGTTACTTAATAAATCTGAGACTTAATTACAGCTTTAACAATCTAGATTTTTATGAACGCTCCAATCATGTGGTCAAACACGAAGTTCTCTTTAGTACCTGTTCATATGCATTAACAATAATTGGACTTTCGAAAGACGTTCTGGGCACATTCTCCTTGATGAGGAAAACTTGATGCGAAAATTTTTGAAATAAATGCATTGCAAGAAAAAAAAAAGTCTCGTATTAGAAAACTCAAAGTCCCACGTTACTTAGTTACTAGAATACTTAAAAATTTTATATATAAAAAATTTAACTTTTATATTAAATTATCAAAAAATATATAATTATGCCACAGAAACCATACTCAGGCCACGTGCATTTGTGATATTGTGTTTGAAAATTAAAAATAATTTACAAAACTAAATAATTTATTATTATATATTATAAACTTTATATTATTTTTAGTTTTATATCTGCCAAAAAAAATTTGATAAAAAATTATTAATTAGACAGAAATAAACCAATTTAAGAAACTTCAAACTTAAAGCAAACCAGTTTACTGATGAAATTAAGCTAATAGAAAGGAAGGAAGAAAGGAAAATTACGTAGTCTCACCTGGTTGCCGGCTTTACTCCGCCTTATCCCTGGTCGGCAGCGCACGTGCAATAGGAGCGTGTGTAACACGCTAAGACCTGGCGTGTCGGCAGACTGGAAGAAATAAGCTGGTGCTCGATACTTGGGAGTCCATTAAACAGTTGGCACGTCGCTGTCTGCTCCGAGGCTCACGCGGTCGTCGCGTGTTGAGCTTGGCCCTTACATTCAGCCATCGCGCCGCTCGAGCTGGCCACGTGAGTTTAGAGCACGGTACAGCCGTGGTCCTCTCGATTACCATAAAATTCCCAATGCATACCAAAGCTCTCCCACCGGACTGTCACGTGTCCTCCCTGAGGCATTCCCGTGAGAGGCTCTGGAAGAAGCTGACTAAAAAGATTCCGGTCAAAAGAATTCCCGCAAATTCTTCTGTGAACTCCGCTTGGCGTTCTCGGAGTGGTTTGGTTAGTGGACCGGTAAATTTATTAGGTTACGGTATATTTGATACTAATTTTTAATTTATTAAACAGAAATTATAATTTATTAAATTAATATTAAAATTAATATTTTATATTAATTAAATAATTATTAAGGTTATAATTATTAACTGTATACTTGAATAAAAGTGTAAAAGCTTATGTTAAACATTTTTAATTATACGTAAAATCTTTGTTTAATAAAATATTGTGAAAACTTGCCTTAAAATATTAAAAATTATAAAATTATATTTTTATTATTTATTTTCACATTTTTAATTTTAAGTTTATAATTTATCATTTTATTACGTATTTTCATCTAATAAATTATTTTAATCTTTTTTCTGTACTAGTAACTTAATTGTTTTAATTTAATTCGCTATCTTTTGTTATTGATATTGTATTCATGTCGATTTTATATTTGAATATTAATGACTTTACTATTTTAATTTAAATTATTGTTGCTATTTATTATTTATATTATACCAATTATGTCTATATTGTATAATATATATATGTGTGTGTATTATATATATTAAGTATAATATTTGATTTTACATTTTACTTTTATCTTTTTACTTTTAGAGAATTTAAATATTTTTGAGTAAAAATTCGTTTTTGATAATTTTAGTTAAGGCGACTAACCCACTCATGAGTTATCAAGTTGAATGATTGTATTTCTGTTTCTAATTCTATTACTAATGGGTTCTAAGCCTGGGGAATGCTTCCTAATCATCCATTAATTAATATTTACTATCAAGTCAATCCTTTATTAACCCATCTTACAGCACTAAATTTAATCCAAAATTATCCTAACCTCTAACTATTTATACATTCATCATTAATTTGATTCCATTATTTTATTTTTTTTTGAAAATCAAACAAGCCCTTACTTCATTCTAATTGAAAGCTAACTTGATCAAAAACCTCCGAAGATTAGAAGAAAAAGGAAGAGGGAGATCAACAGCCCTGATGCTTCCATACTCTGGTTCGAGACTCCAATGCACCCAAAATGGGTTGAGTTAGAGATAACTTTAATCTAGTTGGAGTTAAATATATTAATATTTTCAATGTCATATTTTATATATTATTTATTTTAATACTAATTAAAAACGAAAATATTTTATTTTTATATAGTACATTGATCTATGAACTAATAATAAAAAATATTTTAAATGATACATAAGCCCGATTCAAAATTTTTTGGACAGTTTTGATTCAGATCTATTGTTGTAACGGGCCAAATCCAGGCAATCCGACCCAATCCATTACCATGCCTACAAAAAATAATCAAACAATTTCCAATTATGATAATTATTGAATCGGATCATCCATATAATACACACTGCATGGCGTACAGGCGTCCTCTCCCGCTCTACGTGTCAATTCCACAGTTTAAAGAAAGCATCTCGTTCTTATATATTACACACACACACGCACGCACACACGCACACAAAGATTCAATACCCTCCATCTGAACGACTTCACCATCTCCAAGCTCACAAACCCATCAAATTCATTTCTTCATCCATGGCTTTCTCCGTCCTCCGCTCCTACAAGCCCATTTCGATGCAGAAGATAAGCAAGTTGCCGGGTAATCTGAAGCCGATCTCTCTTTTGGGACGTCGAATCACTCAGGAACCGACCGAACTGCCATCCAGAAGGCTACCGAAGGCGGAGGTCGACGCTGCAGATCCTCCGCCATGGTCTCCCGGGTCGCAACCCCGTCCGGATTTTCCTCGCCCGCCAATGCAGCCGCTGCAGATGCCGGACGCCCCGTTGCCGCCTCTGCCCTCGCCACCGGGTGTGGACGTGCCACCCAAGTCTCCGGGTGGGTACCCGCCTCGGCCACCAGAGAAGGGGCCTCGGAACCATGCGGATCGGACTCAACCCGATAACTCACTGCCTCTCTGGAGCTGTATCGGGTGGCATTGTTTGTTTGTTGATAAAAATGGACAACTATTGTGGGTCGATGCAAGTTGTGCTGTATGAATTTCGGGTTAATTACCCTTCCGAGGAATTTTACGTTCTTTTCTTGATTGGAAAAATGAAATCAAAACCAACAAATTTCATAGAAAATTTTGAACGGGTACTTGGGTCGGATTCAAAAATGGTAACTTTTTAACCCGAAGTTTACAATCCGGAAATTTCAAAATCAAGCTTTTTGAAGTTTAATGAAAATTTGCAGCAATAAATTCCTTTGCTTTTTAATTGTAATATTCTTCTATAAAATTACCAATTAGTACTGGTTTATATTTGAAATATTTCAAGAATAGTTACACTTTTAAAATTATTTTTATTTCTTAATGTATTTTAAAATTGTACAAATTTGAGTTCTTTTTTTTTTTTTTTTTGGCCAAAGGTCCTCTCTTATAATTCTCCCGCTGTTTTTTCTTGGCCACGTCTTCGGACAAGCAAACGCCGTCGTATTAACCCCTTTTAAATGCTTCAATTCTGAGAGGATCAATCCTAGATTCTCCGTCTCACGCTAGCCGAACATGTGGCAGCTGTGTCTGAGGCACTTGGTCGAGCAGCTCTCTCTCTCTCTCTCTCTCTCTCAGTAAAACCTTGAGCATACATGCTTCTCCCCTTCTTCCTTCTCTTGTGATCTTCTTTTGTGATCCTATCAAATTGGTAAGCCTCTTTCGTTTTTGTCCTTTCATTTGACTTACATATAATCTGTGTGAAATCCGCTGGTACTGACCACACCCTCTGCCCTGAACTGCAATAAGGCTTCAAATTCTATCGATTTTGTATCTGGGTTTGTCTTCTAAAACCTTAAAAGCTTCAAATAGTAATTATTCATAGTAATTTCCAGTTTCCTGCTGTGTATTTGCCCCTCTATGGCTTCTTCTATGTTGAATGGAGCGGAAAACCTAGCCAGGTTACGTTTTATTGGGTCGGATTGTAACGGGAGGTGCTTTCCCGATAGGGTTTTATTGGCTCACAGGACTTCAAAAGTTAAAACTATGGCGCCCAAATGCAGTTTGTCTGCTTCGAGGCCTGCTTCTCAGCCTAGGTTCATACAACACAAGAAAGAGGCATTCTGGTTTTATAGGTTCTTGTCAATTGTGTATGATCATGTCATAAACCCTGGGCATTGGACCGAGGATATGAGGGATGAGGCTCTCGAGCCTGCGGACCTCTATGATCGGAATATGAAGGTGGTTGATGTGGGTGGAGGTACAGGTTTCACAACTCTGGGTATAATTAAGCATGTTGATCCAAAAAATGTGATAATTCTTGACCAGTCACCTCACCAGCTTGCCAAGGCAAGGCAGAAAGAAGCCTTGAAAGAGTGCACCATAATTGAAGGCGATGCCGAGGATCTCCCTTTTCCCACCGATTATTGTGATAGATATATCTCTGCTGGGAGGTAATGCTAAGACCCAAGAGTTCCTTGTTAATGAAGGCTTTGATATTGCGGTTGAGATATTGCCGTATTCTCTCTCTGTGTACATTTGATTGTGTTATATCGTACCTGCTTTATAAGGATTATGGTGTATTGTAGCACGCATAAGTGATTACATTTTTGATCTTGAATCCTGAGAAACACATTAATATGCATCCTTCACGAATGGTGCTATTTAAATTGGTAGGCTTCTATTCCTCTCTATGCCCTCCCCCTCTCTTATTAATGTAATTTCTTATTCAAATTTTTTTTTGTTATTATAAAAATTTCAAGCTTATATTGAGGATGCATTGACATATTTTCTTTAGTAATGGAATTTATGAAACTCTTCCATCTCTATTCCTGAAAAGCAAAGAGAATATGAATCATTGGCTTGCTAAAAGCTCTGCTTTTTCTAAACGATACCTCCTTTTCCAATTTTCAATGGGTGGCAGTTACCAGTCACTCTCCCCGTTGAAGGAACACAAGCACACACAGTTGGCTAAATTGAGACAACCAGCCTAATTCATGTTACATCATGAGTTCTCATGTTCATGTTAATTGTCAAACTGTCAACGGGAAAATATTCAGGAAACAAGGATGGGACTTTCTTTCTTTCTTTTGTTTTGTTCTTTTTTTATTTTGTTTCCTTTTTTTTTGGGGGGTGGGGGGTGGGGGGTGGGGGAGGTGGAATAGATCAATTTTAATATGGTATAACTATCTTTGCCAGCATTGAGTACTGGCCAGATCCGCAGCGTGGCATCAAGGAAGCGTATAGGGTTCTGAAAATTGGAGGAAAAGCCTGTCTAATTGGTCCAGTGTACCCAACCTTTTGGTTGTCTCGCTTTTTTGCTGATATGTGGATGCTTTTCCCAAAGGAGGAAGAGTATATTGAGTGGTTTACAAAGGCTGGTTTTAAAGATGTTCAATTGAAAAGGATTGGTCCAAAATGGTACCGTGGTGTTCGCCGCCATGGCTTGATTATGGGCTGCTCTGTGACTGGTGTGAAGCCTTTAACAGGAGACTCTCCCCTGCAGGTAAGATTTTTCAGGCAGCAAAAATTGCACTCAAAATTCTTTTGGCCTTTTTTTTTTCCATCTATAAATTTACTGGTTTACATTTGCATAGACATGTAGCTGACTCGTAGGGGATTTTTTCCCCCTCTTTTGGCTAATTGATTTACTATTCAATATAGCAATAACTCGTTTAGGGTGATCAAATCATGGCATTCATGTTCAGAAATTTTAATTCCATATTCCATGAGACAGATGATCAATGGATGTTATGTATGATCTTCCGTGAGAGATTTGTATAAAGATGAGATTGCTGAAAGGCTTATTTAAGGCTATTGCATTTGATTGAGTGATGGTGAAATAGGATCTGTGAAACTTACCTGGACTAGCTGGACAAAAGCATTGCTGAGATAAGAAGAGTCCTATTGGGTTTTTTGATCCCCAACTGCCCAGAGGCTTACATTGTAAGACATTCTGCATGAGAATGTACATAAAGTCACCTTAATATCCTGCCATGGATATTCTCTTATCCTGGCAAGAAGGTAAAATTGAATGAGGACACAAACTGACATGAAAGATTGCTAACTAACAAACAACATGGGGAAACAAATCATGGTACAAGATATATGTGAAAATGCTAGTTCTTAAAAGAATTTTAGCTATTAGGTTCTGGCCCAAGAGATTATATCGAACTGTTATCAAACTGCTTGTGTTTATCTTCTCTAACATGGCTGATATTTTGGGCACTGCCTAAAATTCATTTTGGATGCACTTGTAAGGGACAATAATGCATTTAACCCAAATCTATGGCAGGGACTTCCAAATCATCTTTTTGGCCATGGGACAAAAAGAAAGATTTTGAATGCTAAGACATCTGATTGGTGTTTTGGCCATAGTAGGAGTACCCACTAGTCCTGGATTGTATACATAGTTTGTGCTGGGCGGGGTTGGTTATGGTCTTGTTGCTGGATTTTTAAGAACCTGGATAGAGGGATTAGCTAACTTGCAGACGCTAGGAATCATAGACTTTTTTTCATTTTCTTGTATGTGGTGGTCAATGAATAATTCAAAAAGTGTGCACATATAATGGTTATAGAAAGTCATGTATGATGATTATATAATAAATACCCTACTTTTTTCCAAGCTACTAGGAAGTTCTGGTACAGAAAGGAAGCCGCCATCACATTCTAGAATTGGGTTGGCAAGGTAGCCACTGCCAGGAGTGTCTAGTAGATTGTATTAGAATTTTAAATCCAAAAAGTTGAAAGAGCAAGAAGCCTATATATTTCAAAGATTCTGGGGGTTAAACCCAGGTGCCTTTGCGTAAATTAGGACTGCAGTCAGACGATGTCAAGCTCTGCTATGTTATTTTGTTGGAAATTTTTTTGCCCTAATATTTAGAAATATTTGTTTTTCTATGTATCCTTTCTTTAGTTTCTTGTGAGATTATTCTGATACCTCGCTTGATGCAGCTTGGTCCAAAAGTGGAGGATGTGAAGAAGCCCATGATTCCACTTGTGTTTCTGAGGCGGTTCATTCTTGGTACCATAGCCGCAGCCTACTTCGTGCTGGTGCCAATTTACATGTGGCTTAAGGATAAAATTGTACCGAAGGGTATGCCCATCTAAAATCAAGAATAAGACACTGATGAAAGGTAACTTTACTTGTCGGCCTTCTACTTCCTACACCTTTTCCTCGCTCGTTAGCTTGCTCTTAGAGCATTTGTCATTGCCGAAGTAGGAACTCTTGTTTGAGCAGAGATTGGCAAAAAAATGAGAAAGACTGTAAGAAATGGTTGCCTCAGCTTCCATATTTTGTCTAAGTTGGAATCTCATGTTAATAATGTGTAGTACCAGGACGCATTAAGGGCATTTTCTTAATGTAATACCAGTTTGTAGTGTTGTTATGACTCTTCAAATTTGTCCAAGAAGAACGGTGTATGCATGATTGGTTAAGTTATGGTGAGAGGGGAAAAGAAAAGAAACAATTTGATTTTCTCATCCATCTTATTTGAACAACAATGAAAGAAAATGTGAGAGAAGAGTTGTTGTACTTAATCGTTTTCTTATTTTAATTTGAATTTGTATGTTTTCAAAAATGGAAAATATTTATGATAGGTTGATTTTTTAAAAAAAATTTGGGGTCAAATTTTATTCTTTTTGTGAGAAATAAAATCCCATTTTAGAAAGATTTTGTTTGTCTTCAATTTTCATAAATTTTTATAATTTTTCATTATTAAGATATCCTAATATATCAATCTTTCCATTTTTCAACATTTGAAATCTTCTGCTATTTGATATTTTACTATTCGATATTTTAAAATCTAGACCGATGATCAAATCGGTAAAGTCACTAGGTCAAGTTCAATCGGTTTAACTACTAGTCAAATTGTTTAATAATAAAAAATATTTAAATAATCAATAAAATTTGAATAAATTTAGTATACTTTATTTGTATATTTTTATTTAAATTTTGTGTAATACTCAAAGTTATAGATGGTATAATAATATTATTATATTTTATATTATTATATGTTAATTTGAAAATTAAAAATGCATATACATATATATAATATTAATTAAAAATTTTAAGAAATAATTTTTTTAAGAATCTAGTTTGTACTATTTTTTATTTTTTAATTTTTTAATTTTTTTAAATTAAATAATATATATTGTAAAAAAAATTAATAAAAATATTTTTTTTAATTTTTTTATACAATTAAAGAGTGGGGGATTTGGGAAAAATTTGAACCAAGGGCAAAACGGAAAAAAAAAATTATCCGAGGAATGAGTCTTATTAGGTAGTCTCCTCTGGATACTCTATCAGCATATCCAGATAAAACAATATGTTTGAAATTTTATTCGCCTTTGTTACACACGTATCGAATGTATAATAAGAGCAGATAAGATAGATAATTTTGTCTGTTACACGTCTTTACACGCTTTTACATACCAATCGAATGTCCCCAGAGAGTGAGAGATTTGGGAAGAGTGGGAGATTTGGGAAAGATTTGAACCAGTGGAGATAGAGGCCCGGGAGTGGGTTTGAAAATTGAGATAGAAGGGCAAAAGTGGGTTTGAAAATTTTGAAAGAAGAGAGAGTGGAGATAGGGAAGAAGGGAGGGGGAGGATTTAAAATTTTTAAAGGAAAACTAAAAATAGGAATGAGAGTGAGAGGAGAGGTGGAGGGGTTTATTTTGAAATTGAACGGTTGGAATTAGGGGGGTTTAAATTGGTTTGTAAAAATAGATAAAAGTTTGTTGATTTTATTGATTTTTAACTGATTTTAATCGAATTTAATTAAGTTTGATTAATTCAACTTATTTTTAATTTTAGAATATTATATGAATCATTTATTAGACTAATTCAAAGTTGAATCAGTCGGTTGGATCCAAGATATAAGACATCGATGTCATCAAATCATTTTTAACTAAACGAACCGTAAACGGATTATCCTAAAAATATTTTGCAAACAATATTGAAGTCAGAAATGTTTTTGGTAACAATTTCTGCCCTCCTTTGGGCCCAGTGCTAGTGGTAAGCCACCTGGTAGGGTTGAGCCTTGGTGGTTATTGATACATCCGGTAGACTTACAGCTGGCAATTTCAAAGGTGAGAAGACCATGATTTGACAAAAAAATGCGTGAATTTTAAATTGTTGAGGGAAATATAAATAATTAAATTATTAAGAAAAGTATAAATGTAAAAAAAATTGTGAAATTCAATTTATTATCAAAATATTCAATATTTAACTAGAATTTTCTTGAGCGTATTGAAATCTTGTCAACAATTAAAAATTTTATTTTTTGATAAAAATTAATTATTTAACAGTTGAATTTAGTTATTTTAAAGTGATGATTTAGAGACGTTTCAGTAGTTTAGGATTATTTGATAAAAAGAAAGTCGATTTTATTTTAATTTTTTGTTAAAATTTAGATAAATTTTTTTAGTTTTTAGTTATAAAACACGTTTAACTTTTACTAGGTTTATAAATCAGTTTGCTTTTAATATTACTTGTTGATTGGCTTTGAATTTTTTATATTAATATTGTTGATGCTTTTTTGACGGTTATTTGCGTTCTCAAAATTATTAATCATACAATATAAGATTTAAGTAGATATAAGTTAAAACAGTGATAAATTTAGGATTATTTTTATCCCATTTTAGATTAGATTCACAAAAGGTAAAAACAAAAAAAAGAAAAAGACAAAATGTTTAAATGGTCATTGTTGGAGGTTGGAGAGGGACGGAGGGTTTGCTCTCTCAATGTTGAACCGAACTGGTCAGTCTTTGCGGGGTCACCTCACCAGCTGGGAAAGGAATTGCCTTAATGGGACCACTCCCTCAGCCCAAGTATGAACTGTAAATGCCTTCTCAATTAATAAACTCAGCCGACGCCGCCCTCCTGTGTCACGACTCACGAGTCCATCTTCCGATATCCTAAATTAGACCAGCCGGAAGTGAAGATGCTTTCATTTCAAGGGGCTGGACCCATCCCACAAAGCTCAGGATCCACGGATTCGGATTCAGACTCGGGTTGGGTTTCATACCTTAAATTCAGAAGTTGATTTACTTTGAATGGAATCGGAATCCAGTTCTATACCTACACCTACTTGTGTACTTATTTGAAAATCACCCATTCAAGTTTAATGAGTTAATTGATAATATATATATATGTGTATGTGTGTGTGTGTGTGTGTGTAAGTCAAAATTTTATTTATATAATACATAGATGAAAGTGATTTATAAATAAATTGACAGATTTTTAGAATTATGCAAAATATTAATAATTTTATTTGAACGCCAACTCTCAAAACTTATTCTAATCGAATTGTTTAAATGTGTCAATTAGGTTGGATTTGAAAATTATGGCCTAGTTTGGTGGCAAATTTATGTTGATATTAGTTTTTTTTAATTATTAATAGAAATAAATTAAATAATATGTATTTTGAGAAGTCAATTGATAAGAGATCATTTTTGTTGAGAAATCAGTTTTTCACAAACCAATTTCTTTCAAAAAGATTGGTTGAAATTGATTTTTTAGGAATTGATTTCTTAATATATATAGTAAATAACTTATTTTTGTAAATAATTTTATAGAAATCCATTTCAATGAATAATAATAAAAAATTAATATCAACATAAATTTGTATAATTTAATTTGGTTTAATTTGTTGGAGGCCCACGTCATAAAATTGTACTAATTGTTCTAGTTAAGGTAGCATGGCAAGGATAAGGATCTTGCTCGGATGTATTAGGTAGTTGTGTAATCAAATTATCATTATTTCTCTCTAAAAACTTAATCTTTTCGTAAATCATCAAGAGTTAATTTGTAAATAATTTGGCAAGTGGATTCTGCCCCCATAGTAAGAGGCATCAAAGGGTGTTTGTTTCAACTCATAATTCTCTTCCCCCAACAACCACACCCCCCCCCCCCCCCCCCCTCACCCCCACCCCCACCCCCCCGCCACAAAAAAAAAAAAAAAAAAAAAAAATTCTGACAGCCTCATTTTCAGCTGAAGAAAAGCTGAAAAGAATCAGGGCATAAGAGATAAAGCAGCAAGTGGAAGATTTGCATGTAAATCTGAAGATCTCATTTCAGCTTAAATTAAGCCAAAAAGTATCAACAATAAGAGAGAGATGCAAGTAAATCCCAATCTTCTCAACTTATGATAATCTTTTTTCAGCTTGAAACAAGCTCAGAGCAAAACAAGTGATAAGGGAGTGTTTGGTACAAAAAGAAATTTAAAACTTTAGAAAAAAGTTCATGGATATTACGGAGGTGTCTGACTTTATCTATAATTTGTTTGTTAACAACTTATTTTCACATTCAATAAAAAAATATGAAACAAATGAAAAGAAACCAAGAATCCAAAGATAAATATAAGCAAGCACACTGTATAAACATATAATTACAAATAAATATTATAGTGTTTTTAACTTTTCTAAACATTTTAGTACTACCTAAGGAATTTTAAATAAACAAATTTAAATATCTCTTAAATTCTAAAACTATCTAATGTGTATTTTTTTTTTTTTTTGTGCGTAGATGTATTCTCATTCATTTTATACTCCAATATTAATTATATTTAGAACATTGTAGCCGTTTTGTTTAAAAACATTTTCTCATATTTGAATTTATATTTTTTCTGTAAATATAAAAATGTCTTATTATTTATGTAAAATTTAAATTATAACTTTTAAAATTTAATATTTTGATATTTTTGAAATATATGAAATATATTTCAAATTAAAAAAATTAAATTATTAAAAGTTAAAAACAAAAAAATTGAAGAATTACGAGGATACGCCCGGAGCAGGGTTCTCGTTGTCCTGGTGCAGTGATGCGGATTTGCAGTGTAAATCTTGGAAGTCGAACAAAGAGCAAAACCGCGTTTGACAGCAGAGCACATTAATGTCGTGATGTTTGATTATTTAGCGACCTTATCCATCCCATCTAATCCAAGGATGTCTAAACTCATCCCAACCTTCACGTCATCTCACGTTTAGGTCGTCCTTAATTAATAGTTAATTAATTTCTCCTGATTTTACTATAATGCCCTTTCGCTATATGGCACTAGGCTGCCTCGCCTCGCCTCGCCTCGCCTCGCCTCGCCTCCATCCCCGTGG